CAGTGATGCATTTACTGTGTTTTTGTGGTACTAAATCCAGTCCGTGCAGCCTAACTCAAACCACTTCTGAGTAAATGTGTCTGTTTCTGTTCTGTCCAGACCAAAGGTGCAAAGTCCCGTTTAGTGGTCAGCTTGTGGGGCATATTGGAACAGTAGATACATTTTTATATTTATCCTAAGCATTCAGATCCTTTGCTTAAATAAACAAACCTACACTACAATGTAAAATACTTACAATGTATGTCTTTTAGTTAAAGCACAGAAGTATTAAATGTGTCACAAGTAAAAGCAGAATGGCCACTTTCTGAGTCTGACATTATTTTATACAGTGTTGCATTTATTTATTAATTTAATGTTGTGGCTGTTGTAGGTTCTAATTTTAACAAATTCTTATATTTTAAGGTAGTTTTAATTTGTTTTCAATGCGTCACATTTTCTAAAATTATAATGCTTTGTATGTGAAATCTTAATTAGCAAATAAACTATAGCTGTCATGTGATATAGATGAGTGCAATATAGAACAATATTTCCTCTTTAAACATCGTAGAGCAGAAGTATGAGGAAACACTGAAGTCATAAAAAGTTCCCCAAAACTTTATTGAAAGAGTTTTAAGACTAAACCCTCCTTTCTACGTTAGTAAATTATACAGTGAAGACTATACGTCCAACTGGGCAAAGTGAGCAATTAGTACAGGGCCCCCGAAACATGTCAATTGGTTTTGATAATCTCATTATTTGCTAATTTGTTAGGGAATTTGCACCAACCAGTGTCAGCTAAAGTGGATCCTGCATGATTCGGTTCGGAAGGGGTCCTGTGTCAAAATTTATTTTAAAGATGTATTTATTTTTATCATTGTTATATATTGTGTATAATGTATTTATTAAGTCGTATATAGCTGCCCATGATACATATTCCATTATAGAGTTGTGTACAATGAAATGACCACAAACTAGTTTACTATCATTGCAGGGCAGGAGAACTGGTGGTACTGGACTGAGGTGACGGGGGACGTGCACATATTGCACATAGAGCAGTCGGATTGTCGGATTCTCCTCTCAGTCAAATGGTGTTTATTGCAATAGTAGTCTGTTTTGCCATTTTCTAAGAAGAAATAAATCTTTGATGTTGCCTTGTACCCCACGTCCCTGAAGTACAAGTCGACATCATGTTGATTCTGATCTGGGCAAAACCTCCCCTATCGAGAGAACACACAAAACACAAACCTACTCTCTGCATTGCAACAAGGTCTATTTTCCATCCGCCCTGGTGTTCATCCAGAACTCATAGAACTTTAGTTACATAGGTACTTGTAGCTCTCACGAGGAGTTGGGATTTAAAATGAGGTCAAGAGCATTTGACTGATAGCAGTTGGGTCAGCAGGTGGGGGGGAGGCTGTTTTTTAATGCTTTTTCTTTGTTTTTTATGTGAAGGGCTCTGTTCGAGTTAAAGTGCGATGTTACTGTAGGTTGCTTTAAAGTACAATAATTCAGTAAATGTACATCATTGTTTGACAGTATCACTACTTGTAATGCAGGAGAACTGTAGAGTTTGCCTGTGTCGAGCTGTGTTGAGTTTTACTACCGCAGAGTACCACTGAGCAAGTCCCTGCATCATCAACTCCCAGATAAAAACCCTGTTTTAAGAGTATTTTATGTGTGTATATGTACGCCTAAGAGACTTATCAGAAAGATTTGCTGTTACTTCATGCGCACTTTTGCCTAACTAATCTTGTTCTCTGTTTGAGCCACCGCCTGCTTACATGACCTTTTACACTCCCCTGCTGTTTTTATTAGATGCGAGAGTAAAACACTTTAAAGTCTCAATTAGGACACATGATTAGAAGTGAAACCATCTTGGCTGTGTGTCTTACCTTAAGCCTTCAAGTTATTATCGTCCACAAACTAATTAGCAAGTTTTTGATAAGCCAGAGTAGACCCTTTGTTGCCATAGCAACAGTTAGACTTAATCACAATGAAAGGATTGTGGTGTTTGGTAGCTCGCAGTGCACACGCCGCCTTTTCCAGCATTTGTGTTTGCTTCATTTTGTTTCTAGTTATTTATTCTTTGTACAAATTGGGTTGTTTTTTTCATTGTATTGCTCCTGGGAGGACCCACATATAATTGAAGACATCAAAAAGAGGTTTAGAGGGTGATGTCAAAGCATTGCATCTGAACGCAGTGTTCTCAATGAAGGCAGCCACTTATTGTTGCTGATTTAGGATCAGTTTGGATCAGGAAAGGTTTTGCAGATTTGCCCCTGCTGGTACAAAAAGTATGAGCTTTCAAATCAGTAAAATTATAGGGGTTATGGTAGATTCAATACATTTAAATACATACATAACATACATAAGCTCTAGATTGTATATTTTAAATTATAGTGAATTCCATGGCCAGTTTTATGATGTTGTATAAAATATATGACTGTGAATGTGCTTTATCTGCTAAACTGATTTCCTACATTTCCCAAAAAAGCCTTTCAACTACTCAACAGTTATTTTGATAATCGATTAATTGTTGTTTTAGTCATTTATCAAGTAAAAGTGCCAGCATTCTCTGGTTTCAGTTTCGTAAATTTGAGGATTTGCTGTTTTTCTCTGATTTACGTTATGGTAAATGCAATAAATCCAGTACCAATACGGTCTCCCCTTTAACACTAATGAAAAGAAACACATATGTTCAACAAAATACGAGTGCACACGTCGTGTGCAGTGTATATTTACACCACGTCATGTTACTGCATTGCGTTCTGGTATATTGAGGCTCCTTTTAGTGGAGAAATTGGCCTCTTTGCCTCAGAGACAGATTTCTCTTTGACTATTGAACTTTGCTATTTGACTCTGATGGATTGACACCCAAATCTGTTAGGCTTTTGCTAACTGATGGATCTTTTGCTATTAAACTCCACTGCAGCTGCCCTGGAAGTTTCTCAATATGACATTATGCCGTCCTCATTTTTCACTCTTCAAGTGATTTAGAGTATGCTTTTCCCTTTTTTCATCTTTTCTCCAGCTCCTAAGGCACCCACGAGTGTTGTTGCTCCCGCTCCCAGCATGACCCTTACAGTTCCACACAATACAGTACAATAACATAAATCAGCACTGTTAAATCAATTCCCCACCCACACCCCTCCCCGGTTACCCCCAACGACTGCCGCATTCACTGCGCCACGCCGTTCGGCGGCCGAGTTGCTTCTTTGGTAAATAAAACATTTATAGAGGCTCAATTAGCGAAGCCTGTTGAGTCTACGGCAGCTGTGCTCACCAGCTGTTTTTAAAGGAAGAGTGATGCGGCGAGGTGAAGCAAGGGAAAAGAGGACGTCAGGAACAGGAAGGGAAAAAATGGATAAGGGAAGATGGAGCACACAGTGAGGTTGTTTTTGATTCGGTGTGGACCCACTTTGGTTGTCAAATATGAGAGTGGTTTGTTAGGTTTATCTGTATTGAAAGTGGCTACACTAAAATACACAGTGTAACAAAGCTTGAAAAAAAGAAATAAATGCCTGATAAGGATATCACTAAATGTTTTTAAAAATGCAAGTTTCCATTCACAATAATGAAGTCGCTGAGCTTAAAAAAAAGATAATATTCACAAAATAATCTTGTGTTTTCTAAGCTACAGTGATAGCAAAAGAGTATAAAAGCTATCTGCTCTGAAGAATCATGTAGTGCAATTATTCAGATCCAATCACCATTTATTAGACTGTTGTTATGGTCAACTACACTACATTACACTACATTATAAAGTCACATTGCCATTTTATTGTTAACCTTATTGTAAAGTTGTCATTCCTACACGATCCAGCATATGCAAGAAAGCCAGCGTTAGGCCCACTAACCTTGCTTCATGATTCGGTCCATAGCTCACCTGGAAGTTATTGTCTTCTCATTTTTGGGTCACCGCCATTATTATAAACCACCCAAATTTGTTGACAGACTGTTGCTTACTGTACCTCCTGTCGTTTTAAACAGCTCACCGTTTTAAAATCTCAATCAGGAAGGCAGGAGATTTGTGTTATCTGTGTGAGTTTTCACCGGCGTGTGAGAAGTTGATAAGGATTAAATGTCAATTTAATATATGGTGTTTCTCATGAATCTCATATACACCCAAAGACTGGAAATAAGTCTGAGGATCCAAACCATCCCTTTGCCTGCAGTGCATGAATAATGCAGTTATTATTCAGTCTTTGTAACTTTTTTGACTGACAGTTGGTGGGCTTTATTAGATGTCTTAACAAGAAGACCCCTATTGCTCAGCCTTGCCATGTGTAGCGGCACAATATGAGACAAGCTACTTTTTCCATTTATATGACTTGAAACAGCATTTGAGACCTGATGATAGTCTGCTACCTTTAGGAAATGAATGCAGACTTAACAGCAGTTTCTAATTTTCTCAGGTAAAGTGTAGATGAGAGCCATCACCGCAGTTTAAAGGGATATTGATGGTGGCTTAAACACAGTTTATTGGAAGCAGACTCAATTTATGTATGAGATGGAGACACCTGAGTCAAATATAAATACAATAATGGGTGTAGGTGAAGGGGCAGACAGGGAATAATGATTGAATACAACAACTGATATGTTGAGAGTTCCGTTTAACATTCAAAAGGATATTGTGGTAATCCACAATAATAATCCACTAAAACATATTTACACATTATAAGGATACCTTCTTGCTCTATTTTCTGTGAATTAATTTAGACACACTTCTGGTTAGAATGTGTATATATATATGCTAATAGCTTCATTGCGTTTGTTTGTTGTGAAACACAAAAAGGGGACATTATAGAGTTCAGTGCTGCATGGAGGAAAAGCATCTTGATTGATTGTGATACAAGGATTGCTGGCAGAGCACGTGAACAGACAGACTGATGCCAGCACTGAAAATGGTCTTGTCCTGGTTGCCACATACCCTTTCCATGATTACAAATCTCCTCTGCTGGGCTTTTTCTTCTTCTAGCAACTCCAGCTTAATTCTCCTTTTCTCTGTCCTTTTCTTTCAGTGGAAGGCTGCACAGATTGGTCAGTGGACTACCTGAAATATAAGGTGCTTCTGGGGGAACCTGTACGGATTAAGTGTGCTTTATTCTATGGATATATACGGGCCAACTACACCCATGCGCAGAGCGCAGGACTTAGCCTTATGTGGTACAAAAGTGCAGGACACGGGGACTTCGAGGAACCCATCAGTTTTGACGGCACAAGAATGAGCAAGGAGGAGGATGCCATATGGTTTCGACCAGCAGAGTTGGACGATGTGGGGTACTATTCCTGCGTATTAAGGTAAGCTCCTCTTGTTTTTGTGAACCAGCATTACCTGGAGACATACTTTATAGTGCTCCCTTCATCACTATTAAATGTGAATTGCTGTTTTTGTCTTGAACTGAGCAAGCACTCATGAGAAACTCTTCCACCATTTTTGCCTGTTTTGCCAGCAGTGTGTCAGTAAAATAGTGGGGGTAAATAACATTTTCTGGAACCCTGCGGGCACAAGTAAAGCTATGTTAAAGTCCTCCCCTGTTGATTTCTAATGAAGTCTCTCTTCTACGGCCAAAAGAGCACTGGTCCTTGGTCCACAGATTATCGTCTAACAGTATGAGGCCCCATTGCTTCGCCTTGTATGCTAAATTATTTCTTTATTCTCCTCTGGGGCACAGTAAGCCATTAGGTGCAATTGGTAAATCCATAATTCTTCGGCCCTCACGAGTCCTTCTTTCTGAAAACGTGAAAGAGCAAGGAGTGAGATGAAAGAGAATGGACAGTAATTCAGCACAGGAAGATTGAGGAAAGGGGAAAGTTCATATAAAAAGGGAGAAAAAGCAGGGAACTCGTACTATCTTCCTTTCCCACTTGCCTGATGGTCGAGGTAGACAATTGTTTGATTTATGAGTTTTATAATGTGGTGAAATTTCTGGCTTCCTCGCCCATATTGGCAGAAGTTTTCATTAACGTGGAGGTTGTCTGTGGCCAGTCAGAAAGAAAAGGCAAAGCTGCCGTCTCAGAGCCCATCACAATTTCCCTTTTTACAGGACAAGGGGAACTTTGAAACACATCTTCCTGAAAGATAGGAGTGTAATCATTTTAGAATTCAGAAAAATCCACAGAACCATTCGTATTTCAACCTAAACACAAACGATTTAGGACATTTGTCACACTGACAAAAAAGAGTGAATAATGCACTCTTGAGCACTTGCATTCAGCATAGGTCTCCTTGTGTTTCACAAGCTCAATTCTGAGAGGTTTTGGCCATTACTATTCATCACCATTAGCACTCTTCCCTTTGCTGTGCCGGCCGCCGTGAATAGAAACGGGCAGCACCAGTCCAACAATTCTCATGGCTCTATTCAACGGCATTGGCAGCATTTTCTGGAGGTAGACAATCAGTCAGCTCAGAGTTATTGTGTAATCACGCAGAAAGTAGAGCCATGAGATTTGATTTGGACGAGTAGTGTTGCTTTTTGTTGCCAGTCTCTGCCAGTCTCTGCCATTCAGAACCAAATTAAGGGACAACACTTATTTGCCCATCACAGAGAGAAATGACAATAGTTCTGAATACGGAGCACTTTTCCATCGCAGGATTTCTCTCTGCTGGCATTTCTTTGGACTATTGTTGCCTATAGTTGCTTTCTGCAGGTTTTAACTATGTTTTTACAGTAGTTAGGACAAGGATGTTCCCTTTTAATACTTAACTTTTAACTCTAAATATTTGTCACTCACATGGAATACTTACAACTCTGACCTTTATTTACAATGCCAGCATTGACACTACAATCAGCTCCACTGATTGTCAGGGTTAATCAAAGCATCCGATGCAGCTGGGGGTTGTTCATATCTGCACAGTATCGTAGGAAACAGATACTAACACACTGATTTGCTCCAGAACAACAGGTCTATGTATTGATGCGAATATTCCAATGATTGTATGTAGACCAGTGCTGAAATAATCATTAAAAACCATGTTTACCGTGTCTAATTATCAATTAATTAGGAAATAGTGAAACAGCTTGTTTGTCCAGCAGTCCGTCAAAACTCGAGGTTTTTTAGTTTACAATGATATAAAACAGAAAAGCAGCAAATACTCACAGTTAAAGAGCTTGAGCCAGATATGGCTTGTTAATGAATTAATCGAGTGAATCCGAGTTGTCCATTCATTTAGTCAAATTCATTGTCTAAAGCTGTATTAATCTGTTTCGCACACCTTTCACATTACACTCTGCAATTTGGCCAACTGTTGTGTGAAATATTGATTAGTGCATCTTAAAAAAATATGTCTCTCATGGATTTCCTTAAAGTTAAAGAGTTTTTTTAACTGGTTATGAAACAACCTACATAAACAAACAGGACCATCAGCGAGAAGATTGGCTATTTCTTTATAATTATTGTTATTGCCTGCCACCGGATCAGATTCGTCTGGATTCCCCTTAAAAATCCATGAACCAGGCAGTGTAAACACTACTACTTTGTCCACAGGGGCCGCCAGAATCAACAGAAAGTGAAAGTTCCTTGTTGCTGCTTTAAATTCACCAGCCGTCTCAACTGAACCCAAAAGTACAAAAAAAAAATAAGGGAAAACATTCGTCACAAGGTGTTTACTGTCAGTTTCGCAACAGTTGACTGGAAGAAATAAGCTGAGTAATGTGCAGCGTTGCACATGCTTTATTATATAGTAATAACTTATTAACCTTGTAGGTAAAGGGCGTTTTCACTTGACTGGCTCATTAGTCAGCTCTATACAGCCGCATACGGTGGCTTTTAACAGGGGGAAGGGCCTGCTTTAAAGGCTTGGGAGGATTAGGTTATTGGATACTGTGTGTGTGTGTTTGTGTGTCACATGTTTAGTTTAATGCAGCGTTCTGAAGTGTATAGCAATGCATCAGAATTGACCACATGGGACCATCAAATTAGAATGATTTATAGTCTTGTATTAGCATATACTGTGAGTTCTGTTGAGTGGAGCCACAATAAAAACAGCCAATGCACGGGCCTCACTCCAGGTGACTGACAGAGGAATGGTTTTAAGTAAACAGACTTGTTACTGCTTTCTCATTCTGAATACGAAGTAAAACTGTATCTCTATATGGTGAACAATGTCTGGAAATGCCATATAAAGTTTGTCACATGATGTTACTCAAAGGCAGAGGTTAAAAAGAGCCACTCAAAAGCACTTTTGCAGTAATAACACTTGAACTATTGCTCTTAAAGACTATGCTATTAACCTCAAAATGGCTACAGTATGACATTTGCGAACACTTTTACTATTGTTAAATTCTCACTTTTTCACTCGAGCATTGACATAATGTTGAAAATTGCAGCAATGGATTCATCCCGTTTTACAACCACATAGCAACAACGTGACTCATTTCAATTTCCAGTCACCGTAGCCAAATCAAAGGATTGCTCTTCTCTTTTGTCTCAGCAGTGTGGGTCCTATAGATGATCAGCACTTGCATATGTTAACATATCACATTTGGATTAGGCTCTTGGCAATGTGTTTACTAGGATTCTCACCCTTTTGAAACATGAAGGGACCTAGGGAATTAGAGCGCTCAGCGGTGGAACGAATGAATCCCAGCACAACAATAAATCATCTCTCACTGGATACATTTCATACTTGAGCATGTTAGAACAATTCAATCCCAGTTACTATGGGGTCCCATGTTGTTACTATCTCAAGGCAAGTATTGATAGAGACTAGTGTATCCAAAGATGTTACGCATGAGTGTACAAGTACTTGTCCTCAGACAACATCTAGAAACAATCTTTTCATTGTCTTTTGTGATAGTATTTGTCATCATTTACTATATCTCTTTTCTGTTCAAGGCACAACATTACTGCTTCCTTTCTTTAGGTGTCTTATTTAACCAATTTTCCTATGCATTCAAAAGTAAATGTAGAATTTTGTTATTGTCATGAAAGTGGCATGGGATGTGTTGAACAGGGCTGCATTAAAATGCTTCTGATGTCTTTAGCATTTCAAGCCTAATATAATAATTCTATAATTTCATCAGAATTGTATTTATATCTTGTGAAGTCATCCAGAGTTATTGTAGTTTTAATTTGTCATAAAATACAATACACTGAATGTTGTGTAGACCGAGACATCATAAACTAGAAGAGCCCATGAGATCCAGTCCAGTCTTGCAAGATTCACAAATCTGCTCGCTATTCACACTCTTTTGTTTTATGTTTCGTCACAGCACACCATTGTCTTCAATTACAACAGGTTTGCGCATGTGCAACAAATTCTGTTCATTTTGCCATAGAGAACGGAAAATGTGTGTATCCGCGATTGAAATCCACTCAAAAATTGCTCGATCCATGCTACACCCTTCAACCAAGTAGCATGAAAACTGGGTCAGTAGCTTTTTCCATATTCCTGCTGACATACAGACAAACACACAAATGGCATCAAACTAGCAGTAATGAGGTTTGTTTGTTTTGTTTGTTTTTTACTTTTATCTTATCATATAGTCACATACTCTCTGTTGTTGTAGCTAATCAACTGTGAGTTTATGATGTGACTCTCATATGGCATGCTGTCCACAGGCTCTCTCCAGATACCAGGGAAGAAATTTGTCTGCCGGTTGTCTGTCACAGGTGTTATTGCACTGGGCAAAGCTTAACCGTGTAGGCAGAATATTCATAATACACCCACATCAGGATGGCCACAGCTAGCGAACACACATTGCTGCAGCATGACTGGCCACTTCTGCCAGTTTACCACCATGAAACTTGGAGGCCTATGTGTTATTGTGGAGCCAAATAAATGATTCCAAGCAAATTGTAATTTTAAAAAAGGAGTTATTTTTTTTACACTTGTGACGTTTTGCCCAATGTAATGCATGGATAACAGTGAAACACAGAACTGTGCGTTAAATATAAATTTTTCATATTATGATGAATATATATTGAAAAATATTCATATAAATGTAATTTCAATCACATCACCCTGGCTTTAGGAAGATTGAGGTTGAAGGAGCTGCATTGTTCTACAAAAAAAAGTCTAAAAACAAGACGAATGTCACATCAGCAAACACGTTTATCTGTGTGCTGCCCTTGTGAAAGTATAATAGAAATACGCTCTGTGAGCAGCTTGAACACCATGTGGCATAATGCAGATGACAGAGACACATCTGCACTGCGAAAAAAAACCCCACACAAACATCTTAATAAGTTTTGCAGTTAGCAAAGTTTTCGAGTCTGAAAAGCAGCTGTGAAAATGTGCTAACAGGGTGCAGATAAACACAATTATTTCCAATTCAAATCATGTAGTTCCAAGTGCT